GTGCTTACTTAAGACATTTGCTAAATTCAGATGATGTCGCACATTTCATTGAGAAAACATTACGTGTGGCTAAAGCCTTATTGAGAGATTGGTTGTTGAAAAATGTAATCCAATTATTGATTTTAAATATTATGAAACTCTAAACTTAATTCAAAATGTATTTATATTTAACTGAATGACAGGACGAGGCCGTGGATGCCAGGAATGGGAAGGAAAAGGATGAATCTTCTGATGAGAATTGATTTTTAATAAAGATTTTTACAGCAATTATCAAATCAGTCGATTTCTCACTATTATTATTAAGTATAAAATTATATTAATTTACAACATTTTATTATGGAGTCATTTATAAATTATCGCATTATTTGACGAAAAATACTTTGAAATATTTATAAAATATATACAAATTAATTACAAATTAAAAGTATAAGTAATTAAAAGTATAAGTAATGAAATGCAGGCGTTTTTTGAGGAATGGGTTCTCGACAAGTGGGACATACACTCTCCACATTGAGTGCCATATTCACACAAATATTACAGAATAGATGTCCACAAAGAGTGGCCACAATTTGTCTCTCTGTCGATACAATCATCTGTCGGTCGTCCAGACATATAGAGCAGACCCACTCGTTGTCCTTCAAGTGGTCGATCTCTTTGCACGTCTGCAACAATTGATCCCTTTCCATATGAACGGCCGCCAATTCATTAAGAAGTATGGAATTCTCGTCGCGACATGTCTTGAGTTCACTTCTTAGGGACCAATTCAGGTCTTCCATGACTGACAGGTTTTGCGTTAAGTTTTGAATGAGTTCTTCGTTTGTAAACATTTGGTTGTCTGTCGACGAGATATGTGTCGTCTGAAGACTTATACTACTCTTAACTACAGTCTGTTTTTTGATCCAACTTTCGTCCATCGATACCGTGCGCGGAGGTATGGGAGGCGGCACCAGAGGTCTCTTGATTGGCCTCATGTCTGTGTCCGGGATGTCCTCATTGGGCTCTGGCGGTGATGGGCTTGAAGTCTCGCAATAAAATACGGATCCGTTAGACGACTGTTTGCGTCGACGTCTGGGAGGCGGTCGAGGAGGTGGCGGCGGAGGGATCTTCGGGGGTAAGGACTCCACAAACTCGAGTGTAGAGGAATCGGAATCACTTACTATGGAATTGGATTGACTGGTGCTGTCGACGGACGTGTCGATCATTGTCTGCGAAGTAGTCCTGCGAAAAGAGCTTAGAGACCATCGTTTCATTAAGTTATTCATTGCCCTCACAATAGATAAGAAGTTCACAAAACTTTATAGTATTTTAGTCTAATTTTTCTCAACATTAATAGAGTTGATATATTGTAAAAATACAATCTAATGAATGGCTAAATAATAAGTTAAAGTAATACAAAATGAAGTTCTGTATTGAGAGTAGAGTTTAGGGACTTATAAGCCTTATCTCGAAAAAAGTAAAGAGAGAGTCAAACACTTACCAAATATAACTCTCAACACATCAGAGCAAACAATTACCACATTATCTTAATATCAGAAACAATTGATAAAACTGTTTGAACAGCAATTTATTTATACAGAATAGGTATAATACTAACGGTATAACTACTAAATATTATGTCATATGATATTCATTAACTTTATTACTCATACGTATACATTACAGTAGAATATATTTGTATAATTTTATAGCAAAATGTAGGCTAAAATGCTAAACCAGACTCAACTGTAACACCAGTTCCTGTAACAAAATTCATGCTTTTGTTAATGAATACAAAAAACTGCAAAAATAAGTATGAATTGAAGTATTTTATTATAATATTTCACATAAAACAAGTCTAACATTTCAGTCAATGTATCGTTACATATGAATAAATTCTTACATTTGAGACAATTGTCAAGTTTTACGCTTTCATTGAAAATTTAAAAAATAATAATAAGTTATTTTATTGTTAACATTAGGAGTATATAATTTCATTAACAAACATTAATTGGTTAAAATGAATCCACTGTTACAAGTAAATTGGGTGATAACCCGTTTGTTGACTATTAATATCATTGACTGGCTTATGACATATGGGACAGTGTCTGAGGGAACGGCCGGAACTGATGACACTTTGAGCGCATTTCGAGCAAAACAGATGACCGCAAAGAGTGGACACTATCTGTCGCTTCGTATTGAGTACTTTGAGGCGATTGTCACCGCAGACGGAACAGTGCCACTCCTCCACCAAACTCTCCATTTGGTTCAATCGGTTCTTATATAAGTTGAGCTCTACTTTGCAAGAACTCAGTTCCGTCTCCAGCGACGTCTTCTCGTCACTCAATTGGTGTATATTTTGTGTTAAGATTTCGTTCTTTCGCTCCAATATCTGCAAATGAGTTATCATTTTCTCGATCAACTCTTTCACTGACATCCGGTTATCGTTGGGTTGCTGTGGGGGCTGAGCGGGCACTGCTTCCACCGATTCATCATCACTGGTGGTACTACTAGTCATGACGGACGTGGTCACCGACACCACGGAATTGCGTTTACCGACAAAGCGGTGATCTCTGGAGTGGTCGTCACTGATGTGGTTGAGCGCCGACGTCGACACAGACCTCTGTCTCATAAACTTTGGCTCACATCTCAAATCATTCACATTTGGCTTTTCGGTCACATTTATAGTGGATTTATGGAAATTCTTGCGAAACTTCTTGAACTTTCCCTCTTTTTTGGTGTTTGTCAGCGGATCGGGCGCTGAATTGCGGAACATATGGATGAAGTGACTCATTGTTCGCGGGCTCACCACTGATGCCAATAAATATGATATTATATAATGTTACTTAAGACACGAATGCAATAGTGAATGAAGCAATTCAATCACTATTTCTTATACTAATGAACACCTTTTCAACTCAATTCGTGATTGCTATGAGTTGTGTGGATAAGAAGTGCTCGAAAATAATACTATTATTGCAATCACTGGAGACAAGAGTCAACTCATTTCACCAAAAAGTGCTGTAAAATTCACTCAAAATCTTATCTCTTTAGATAATGGCTTTAAAATAATAGCAAAATTTTATGGTAAAGTAGAATATTGTGAACACAATTAATACTGTTTAGTAATTGAATGACATAGAAAGGTATATTTATTGACTCGTGTGTGGAAAGGGATGTGTAAATATAGTAAGCAATGTGTAGTTCCAATAGACTATTGTGTCGATAATGTCTTGAAATGAAGGTTAGATGGCTTTATACCGGTATATCTGAAATACACATATTCTCAATGAATACCTATTTTGATAGCCTGTATGACAATTAGCAATACTTGTATGTAAGTTATTATATTAGTTGTAAACCTTGCAAATCAACTCTAATGGACTGTAACGGGGCTTCACATCCAATCCCTTATAATCACTTCATTTCGCACACAATAACTCACTATTCATTATAATATAATATAATATATTGACTAAACTTCTTAAACATGAACTAGAATTTGATGAACAGTTCAATAAAAGTAAGACACTGTTTGACACATTGAACTAAATTTCACTTAAAATTTATATATAAGTTATTTTCATCTCTCAGTCAATAATTGCTAAACCAATGCATCTGTGAGTGCATTGAGTGTTGTTATGTTTATTTAAGTTGATTTAAGTGCTTATTAATAGTGTTTAGCATTTGATTTGAAATCTAACGGCAAAAATGCAAAGTTCATCATAACTGCCATTCAAAACCATATCTTATTCTGTATATTATAATACTATAGTAATACTAATAGTAACTATACTAATAGTAACTACTCTATTAATAACTTTTGTGCAGAATTTTATTTAAGACACTATGCTTTTTATACTACTGTGCAGTATATGCATAAAATTATGCTTATTTTAAAGAAAGTTATTTAAATTAAAATACTAATAGTAACTACTCTATTAATAACTTTTGTGCAGAATTTTATTTAAGACACTATGCTTTTTATACTACTGTGCAGTATATGCATAAAATTATGCTTATTTTAAAGAAAGTTATTTAAATTAATTAATTGAATTAATTATTGCAAAAACAAGAGTCATTAAATGGTAATTAGTTTTGAATAGTGCAATAGTAATGATGATTCAGACATTAGCTTAAGGAAACGGTTAGACAATAGATAATAACCATAGGCTTAGAGATTATTATAGATATTATAGAAATTATTGCCTTTTGTTGCTTAGATTCACACTAAAAATCTATTGTTTGTTTCGCATATTATATGAAATCATTTGCACTGAACATAACATTACATTTGTTACTTGTTTAGTATATTTGATTGACATTCACTTTGGACTTTCAATGTTTTCTTGGAGATCACTTGGATTAAGAAGTTATGTACAAAACAATGCAATTTCTGTCATTTTATAAAGAAATACTTTTTATTTAAAATATTTAAAAAGTTTATTAGAAATATTAACACATACAAAATATAATATAAAATATATTAAGTTTGATTTATAAAATAAATTATGACTGATAGAAAGTTTGATTATTATGTCAAACAATATAATTATCCTGAAGTTGTCGCCCGTAATACCAAACCAGAGGAATACCAATGAGTTTAATCAAAGAGTTAGTGATAGCTATTCCAGCCATTAATGAGACCGAGTATCGGATGTCTTCGAGTTTGTGATTGAGTGCAGAAAAGCATGAATTCTGTAAAAACAAAGCAATTTTTTGATTCAAAATTAACAATAGTATTGAATATTTTTACATCTTTATTGACGTTTTCTTGTGTACAATTGATTGGACTCATATGATTGATAGGATCTATAGTTGACTTTATATGACAACAACAAGACATGGGATACCAGTCTATATCAGGTCTCATGTCATCCCAACTTCTATAAGAATAAGTTCCGCAGCAGTTGTATAGACATTGAATTGAGTCCACAATTCTATTGCCTGGGTCACTTTGGTTATACCAGTTATAATGTTCAGTCAGATCTTTAAATCTCTCATTGATTGTCTCATCCTTTATCTAATTCAACAAAACACAATACATTAACAATTTGTAATTTTAAATTTAAATACAAATTAATCACTTACTTTTGAATTATAATAAAAGCTATTATAAGTAGAAAATATTTCAATAGTTACGAGGAATACCAAAAGTAGACAAAACTATTTTTATAAATCATAATAGAATTAACAAATTAAAGACATTGTCAGCTATTAGTAATAAAATGGATATTAATTACCAAAACTAGGACTAGTTTACTTTTGGTATAAGTGGCACAGAAGCCAATAAATGCTATTAATATAATGACAAATGACAGTAGACTTAAGGCCACCGATACTTTAATAGCACTTTTGTGGCTCAATTCGTCGATCCAATTATGAATATCATACGAAACCCCATTTGATACAAACAACTGTGTTATTGCAAACACCTATTATAACAAAACATTAAATTAAGTTTTATATTAAAAGGAAAATGTCTATTAAAGAGAAACATACCACAAGTATAAGATAAAATATGTAGAGAATTATATATTTGAGATAAGACTCGTCCCATTTTAGTCTTTTATGATATTTTGGCCACATTTTCATTCAATCATCATTTCAATGACTTTTCAATCGTGTTATACAATGTCAACAATTCTTGCATGTTTATTTAAGTGTCGTATAGATTACAAAAAAATAGTGAATAATTTTTCATAATAGTAATAGTCAGGTAACACTCTATGAAATGCAAAACTTTTGTTATAATTTAAAAGTGAATAATTGAAAAGAAATGAATACTACAGTAGTATATTGTAATACCAATAAAATAATTCTCATATAAAACATGCCGTCACCTGTCGTTTGATAGTTTATGATTAAAAACTTGTTGTTCATTAATAAAGTGTTTGCAAGTGTTTAGGAATTTTTCACAGAATAGCTCATTTATAATTTGTTTGATTTCACAATTAATTGTCAATTGTAATAATTAATTAAAAAATTAATTTTTATATATTTACTAGTGCTCAGAATAATATACCAATATTTCTTGTTTGTAATCAAAGGCTACTCTATTTTATTATAAAGAAATACATAAAGTATATAAAGAATAAACTAAAAGAAAATTAGTACTGTATCTCAATTCGCCTTTAATGTCAACCCTTTGTCACCAACCAAAATGACCCAGACCACTTTGATAAGATGAATGGTACAGATGTTTGAATTTGGTAGACATGATTTTGATTAGCATTCAATCTATATTTTAAATTTTCAAACAATTCCTAATATACTTATGACATAATAGTTATGCTGTAATCCCTTAAAATATCTTATTCTGGAGTCTAAGATGTAAATTGAATCATGTGTTTAAAATGCCAACTGGTTTATCACTGTGTGTTTTATAAATTATTCAATTTGATTTTTGAACGGTAAATAATTTAGAAATCGATCTGGATTATTTGTCGAGTCTCAATTCAATGTTAATGAACCCTAAACAATTTCCTTTCATAAACAGTGAGAGATATAATTCTAAAATATTATAAATCATTGAACGTCAAAACAATCACAACATTAAATACAGATACAAATTTATATTATTTGATATTATTTTGTTGTGATATTTAATATTTATATATTTAATTGTTTTTGTGTTTTTCCGATGGACAGGTAGTTACAGAAGCGGTTTGCATAGTGTTGTGTCCACCAAAACAAAGGACGTGTCAATGAATACATTAATAATTAATATAATAATTGCCTAGTTAATTGTTTTTAAGTTGTAAGTCATAGGTTTTATTTCTGTGTATATTTTTATTTTTTATGTCAAAAAATGTTCAATATGAATTAAAAATTTACAATTACAGGTACTGTATTACTAATTATTATTATAGAAATTAAGTCATAATATTTATTACAATCGATGAAGTAACATTCATATTTTTACACAATAGCTACAGTATTATACTTGTAACACACATTGTCACTTGCGGTGTTATGAATTATAATGAAAAAGTTTTTGTTCATTAATAAAGTGTTCGCAAGTGTTGAGACATTTCTCGAAGAATAACTCATTTATCAAATATTTCATTTCACAATTATTTGTCAATAATTTTTATTATTTTATTTAGGTTTTATTATCATTAAAACGAATGAATACAATGATTTTAAAAAGTCATATCAATCCAAATGGTGGCCACAGTTGGGAAACGGTGGTCGGTATCACTGGGAGTGGTGGTAACCCTGGTGACCCTCTGACGTATAGAAATCTGCAAACTGAGCTGAAGGTCCCGAGGTCAATGGCTTCAAACATGTGAACCAACACCTTGTTTCTGTCCGCCCAGTCGCCCATTTGAGTCCAATAGTCTCTTAAATTTTTCACATTATTAGGCGAAGCATTAAAACTGATGCCTTGCGACGGCCAACCAGTCTCTCCAATCATAACCTCAATGTTTGCATTAATTTCTTTAAACTTTTGTCTATAACTAAGGAAAGCATTGCCGACCGCGTCGACCGATTGCTGAGTACCGGCTTTGACAACATTATTGTCGGGATAGACATTACACATAATAAAGTCGGACTCTCTGACAATGTTGGCGAGGATGTCGTGCATGGCTCCCGACCCCTGAATCAAACCGCAGACATGTATTCTTGTGCCCACTTTGACATTCATCTGATGCGCTCTATTCTTATTACTGGTTATCATATTTAATATACGATTACCCGTCGCCTCAGACGTGAAATACTCATTAGTGAATATCAGACCCTTTACAGTGTTTCCGTATATGCCATTAGCATCCTATTAATGCATACAAAAATAGTTAGAATATCATGAAATTTAAAATTTATTTAGTATAGCAAATTTATACAGTATAATCCTACAGTACCTGTGCGGCAGAAAATGCATTATTAATTTCCGTTTGTTGTAGAGTTTGGTCTTCATTTTGGTTAATTCCCTGCCATACTTGTAATGCCATTTGATTTTTGTTGTGGTTTATGGTAGCGGCCGCTCGAGACACCAGACAATTAGAGTCCGTTTGATCCCATTTATTGTGGACATTATAGCCGGCAACTCCCATCCCATATGTCGCTATACTCCTGAACCGACTGTTCACCACATTCAACATATCCACGATATCTTCGAGAGTATATGAGTTCCAATACGGAAGTGTCTGTCCCACCCAGTGCTTCGTATAGGGAGAGTAGGCTACCCCAACATAATCTCTGTTGAAGTTTTGACTGACAGTTGCCGATACCTTTTGTTAGGTTTAATGTTATATTAGTCACTATTGTTTGGCAGTCATTTGGCATTACTTACGGCTAATAGCAGTATAAGTGATTTACTTAACATAATATAAGGACTGAGAATATACTAAAATATGACAAACTATTGCATTAAAACTAATGACTAGAATATTAGTTTAATTTCCCTTTTATATGCATTTTCTAATGTGAATACAGATTCGTTCGACAGATGTTTGTTACCGATTATAGATAAAAATCTATTATTTATTTTGTTTGTCCTGTTTTGGCATTTCAGCTCATATTTCATAAATAATACAATGGTATCATTGTTTAAAGTTAAGCAAATATCCTTGCTAATATTTCCATTTATTATATAAATTTTATAATGTTGAAATCATACAATGCATTATAAACGTGATTATAAACGTCAGAGTTTTATTAAATAGTTTATATTAAACACTTTTCACTTATTATGTTGATATATGAACAGGTATAAATTAAATCCGATTAAATCAATTAATACACAATTTATACATTAATATTATATAAGTATGAAATCTTTACGTAAATTGAATCGTTTATCAAAGTCTATATAAAACGTGAAATAAACATCTTAAATTATAATAATCTTAAAATTGTAGTGATTATAACTTTACAATAATTGTCATTACTTTACTTTAAAATGACAATTATATGAGAGGAATATCTCTATCCATTGGTTGAGATCTGAGCAAAAATATGCAGACAATGCACAGCAACTGAACGATTGCCGCCTCTATTGTGATGTCTATTGTTATCTGAAGAGAATTGGAGACTTTGCTGACCATCTGATCAGTCGCTGCAATACATGACTCCTAATTAAAAACCAAATTTTAATAATTAAAACTCAATTTAATTGTATTGTAATGTGTATTACAAATACCAACCCTGTGTTGGACCTGTTGTTCATCACACCATTGGTTTTCTAAACCATACTTCGCGTCATCCATACAACAAGACAAAGGATAGGCACCGATGGGTACTCTGATGGGTCTCAACGGTTCCCAACTCTGAGAGCCATTCAAAGCTCCGCAACAATTGAATTGAATCTGCATTTCGTCGACCAGAAGGTAGTGGTGTATGTGTCGGGGGCGGCCGCTATACTCACACTTTTGGCTGTCATTCCTATTATTAAAACTAAATTCGTGGATAACTCACAGCAAACTTGTGACGAGAAAAATAATAAACCAAAGGCAGAGGAAATGAAATATTAGTTTACTAGAAATGTTTTAATAATTTATTTCACAACTTCTGTCTCACTTTTCAATACTATGTAAATATTGATCATATTTAATGTAAATATTCATTCATTCATTGAATAATAATAATAATAATTACAGAATTATAATTTATACATTTTCATATGCATTTGTTAGACTTTTATATTATTTATATGAATAACATTTTATTAATTTAATTTGTAATTAAATTCATTGTAAATTTTAATAACCATGTAATATTTCTTTAATATGCATTTATGATTTTAAATTTTCATGACAATACAAATAAAATATTATATAATATATGTTATAAAATGTGTCTAAGTTTACATTATAATATAGAATTGTTCATTAAATTCATGTGTAATATATAAAATAGATATTAAATATTTATGATATGCAGATGATTGTAAAACTCTAGTTTATTTTACTTTTTGTTTTTAAATAATTAAATATACTTAACTCTAATAAAAATATCTAATTATTAGACATTATTGAAAATTATATGTATTAAATATACTTTATTTTACACTTTTGTGTAAATTGTTAAAACCAAACAACATAAAATAAATAAGAATTTGCTGTAAATATATTTTGGTGATTGTTATCAAAATGATTAGCAGGGCTTTAAATCATGCAAAGAATAGCTCCAAATACTCCTGCCGTCGTGACAGAGGGGTTGGCCACGGATTTTGTCCCCCTGTAGTAGATGTCTATTTCTGACGATCCACTGGAACCGACAGTCGCAGACCAATGGGTTATAGCTTAAGACAACTGTATTGCTATTATCGGGTTTGAGGAGTAGGGGCGCGAATATATTTTCCTCCAAATGAGTCAATAAGTTGTCCGAAAGTATGAGAAAAATGGGACGATTTATGCCATGGAAAGCCAATGGACTGAGACTACTGTCCGTCAAGTTATTGGAGTGAAGATTTATGAGAAGTCTTTGATGTGAGGGGTGTTTGATAGCGAAGGACAGATCTTGGATTTTGCGGATCTTATTATGACTTAAATCTATGACACAAAGCGCTTGGAGTTGAAAGAAGGCGCAGCTCTCGATGTGAGTTATTTCGTTGTTATTGAACAGTATTTTCTTGAGACAAATTTGTTCAGACTTGGAAAATGCATTCTTTGATATGCGATCGTAATTGGTGTCCGTAATGGTCAGCACTTCCAACCTCTTGAATCGGTTGAGTATAGGGAGGGGATCGCGTCGGTTATAATTGACTAGAGTTTTGTGTCCCTTTAGAGTAAAGAATCGGTTCATGCGGTAAGAAGTCCAGAAAATAAAGGGATCAAAGTTTTCAATTTGATTGTCAACTACTGATATGTGTCTGAACTTCAATCCACGAAACAAATCAATTTCATAGACGTATAGATTTTGAATGGATGTCTGTTTTATTTCCAGTTTTAAGAATGTCTTGGAGGACAGGGAACCGTTCAGATAAGTGTTTAGTCGAGTAAATGCTCGGTAGATATCCATGTCTTTTATATGTAGTCCACTACAAGATATGGTCAACTCGTATCGATAACTTGGAGTCGATATGCACTGACACGGGTAGAAGAAGTCAGGGGCCGGACAGTAGGCACTGGCAGTTGATATGCGTTGCGATAAGTAAAGCAATATAGCAATAAATACCATTGAACTTCCTATTAATAAATAAATATTAGCAATATTTACAATAAATAAGAAAATTGTATTCAATATTGACAATCACACGCAAATTAAATCAAAAGCAGTAGTACTAGTAATTAATTGAGAAATATAATAGAAATCTCTTACTTGTAATGATAAACATTTTAAGGAACTCCTTATGTAAGGGATGACTGGATTCTGGCAGTGATTCTGTGGACTAAATTAGTAATAAAATTACAATAAATTTGTGTTAACTCATTGTGTCGATTATATATAGAAGGAAATAATAATAATTTAAAAGAATTTCGAAATCCGATATTAGACTTAATGGTATGTATAAACAGAATTTTGTTTTATATCATTGAAGTCTGCGAAACAAAACAAAAAATAGATATTAATATATCGACCGAATCATATGCGATTGTAATTCCTATTTTAGTAATAGTTTTTAATGACATATCAATAGCATAACTCTTTTTGCGTTAAACTACTTGCATATGATTTGGTGATAACAAAAACTGATTATTATTTAAATATGAAATTTGTCACATATTTCGATGGAATGTAAGGATAAATTTCGATCCAAATAAAATACTGTATATTTTTACGGTTAACACAATGCATAACATTAAACAGTCAGTCATCAGATTTTTATGACAACTTTTACATTGAAATCATAGAAGAATATATTGTATTATCAAAGTATACAATTTATACGGTATCATAAGTACAGATATGTATTTGCAAATCTTATTCAAATTTTAAAATGGAAAAAAGTTTGTAAAAATTATTTTACAATTTATTGCAAATATAGTAGTGTAAGAATTAATTTTAAAAAGTTTTAAACACCAATTTCTTTTCTTATAATAAAATATCGTAAACATACTTTAAATATTAATGTTAAGCGTTTGATTTAATTTTATACAATTATACAAAGTAATCACATTTTCTATCAAATCTATTTCTATAAAGATGAGATTAAAAACTATACTGTTGAAGCTTATTAATTGAGTTTATAAAATAATTTAAAAATTTAAATGAAAAAAGTTTTAGTATAAGATTACTCACTGAACATTCAGTTTGGGAAGAAATCCACTTATTTTGAACAAATGATTGCTTTAGAAGTGTTAATCCGTTTCCACACTTTCTATCAAATGAAGGGTCAGTTTAAAAGTGAAGTCCATTCAAGAGATGAATGACTGGTCGGAGCAGATGTCAGATGAAAGTGTGCGAATGAGTCACAAAAAATCTTTGCCACACGACTGGTCTTTAGGTTAGAAATGGTAACATTGAAGCACTCCATACGAGTGCACCCTTTCCTTCACCACAGACTTGTCATCATTGAAGAGTGATCTCAACACAACTCCAATAGCCGTTAATTCACATATAATTCAATGACTGATGCATTAGTGATTTATTTAAGCACTCCATACGAGTGCACCCTTTCCTTCACCACAGACTTGTCATCATTGAAGAGTGATCTCAACACAACTCCAATAGCCGTTAATTCACATATAATTCAATGACTGATGCATTAGTGATTTATTTGCCATTTTAAAGATTTATTGCAATTCATGTCTGACTTACAATTGATGACAATATCATTGAATGACGACCAGATGAGAGGGTAGGTATTGAATGGAGAGACCAATTGCTATAATTGGTTGACGCGAGTGAATATGCATTGGGTTTGAATTTCATGTCTATTATGTTTTGCCATTGAATTGCAATTTACTCTTTAATGAATGGACTCTTTTGTGGTCATAAATCAATCGATTGGACGCTTGAGTGACACATGCTTTCATAATCAGTCAAATACTGGTCAAACTGTTCATTAAAGGGACCGCCTATATTGCATTTTAATTATTTTTTTATTTCCACAAAACAATTATTTGAATATGGCCAAATACAGTTATCATTTTTTATCAATAGTATAATGATTTAATATAGCTATTTATAATATAAATTAATTATATTATAAATGCTAAAATACTATAAGATACTAATTAAAATAAGTAATTTATTATAAAAATAGGGATTGATTTGCTCGAGAATGACGACAACCGAACCGTTCAGTACTTTATCGAAGAAACTCATTGTCCCGAACACGAAGGCAGAGCTCGTCTTAGGGTTTATACAGACATTAGATATGAAATATCATAGAAATATTGCCAATACTATGATAACACATACCGTATTGATTCCAATCAGATCTGAAGTGAGGGCGAGACTGGCGATAAGCATAGTTGTGCCGCCGATGCCGAACAGTAGGGCTGACCCATAGACCTGCCAGTGTTTGAACGACTCGTTATCTACTGACCCAAAGCTGTTCCAGAAACACGAGCCCAAACCAAACACACAACCAATTACTAGTAGTATCTGATAGTTATACAAATAACTAATTAGTTTAATCACATGAAAGTAATTGTTATGAATAATAGTCGTATGATTAGCCTATAAGTAGTTGAAGTACTCATAAGTGGGATGTCATCACTCTTTGAGAAATCAAGTTCTCGAGTGATAAGAATGACAGCAAATAATTAAGCTAAAATAACCATAATTTGGTAAATTAACTGAGTGAAAACCAGGTCAAAACCTACTCTAATTAGCACTATCCTCACTGGTTTGCTTAGGTGATTACATACACTGTTTACCCTACTATCGCTATGACCGCTTAAGTTAACAACAAATGAATTAAAAGTTTTGAAAGACAAACATTGAAGAAAACTACACATACTTTTGGTAAATGAAGAGTATTTTGCAGGAAAAGTGATGTATAGACTTGTGTTAAGTTCACAAACAGTCGTGCAACCATATAAATAAAAGCCTATAATAAAATATACATCAATTAAAATTACTTTTCTCTAAGATAATTATAAGAATCCATACTATTTTATAGAAGTTAAGATTTTTAAGCCAATCACTCCATTTGATACGTAATGATCTGAAAAATAAAGGTAAGAGACCCAAAGGCCTACTCTTTCTTCAGAATCTTCACCACATTAGAAATTCCGTAAGTAGGAAAGGTAACGTAAGTATATGCCTTCTGTGCCTTGTTTCTCTTTTGCGGTACTGATTATTGTTAACTAAATCATCCGATGAGTTATAAAGTGATTGGTTTGATGTGTTAGTATTAGGTGTTGAAGCTTTGACTTCCTTCACAAACACATTAAACAATATGGAAAATACTACTCCAATCGCACACACGATGTATACAATTAACTGTTTTACAAGATTTTTACAAAATTCATTAATTTCTTCATTAGCCTTAAAAAAGTGAATACAAAAACTTACAGTAAAACTATCGGAATCTTCTTTCGTTATAATAGAGTCTCCTTTTCGACTGAATATAAACCATGCAATTGTATAGACACATATCGATGAGGCAACTGTAGCCGCTTGTCTTCATACAAATATTATATTATAAATATAATTTTAATCCCAAAATAATCAAAATGAAATACCTGTAAGCATTCAATTCAACTCTTTCTTTAGTGTTTTGAGTCAAATCCGTAATGAGTGAGACGTGACCCACTTGTACGGCAGCCTAACATTAATGGCAATACATTTCTCATTATAGATTGGCAAACATAATTAGCTTAACAAATGACATACCCATCCGAATTGGAAGATCACAATGAAGAATCCATAATAAATAATTTGTGACATTTCTGATGCACTTTCGCAGTTTATACATTTGTTGAAGATCTGAAAACAAGAATATATTGTTATTGTAAATAATGGCAATTAAACACTTACACTTACTTGACTGTTTTCCCTTCCTGCGCCTGTGCTCCTGTCACGGGTTGTCTACGGTTCAGAAAGCAAAGGGTATAGATGTGTTGTCAACCAAACATAACAAAGCCAGGCTTTTCTTACTAAACATTTAGTTATATTCATAATTGAGTCAATATTTTCATTTTAAAGTGTAAATGAATAAATTTTCAATAAATTTTAGTTATTGTGACCAGTACTCACCCAACAAATGGTGTGGCCAATGCATCGGCTACCTGTCCCAGTAGTATCAATATACTAGCGACTGAACCATTGAATTGATTTTGAAAGAAGATTAATGTATAGGAAAACCAAACAGAAGCGCATAGATCATTGTAAATGTGTCCAAAAGCAAAGAAAATCTTTATTGTCCAGGACAGTTTACTTTGCACTGTTTGCTCGCTATTTGAATTGTCACTCATAGTATCATTTGTGGACAACTGGTCAACTGATGTCCCACACGTGTCACAAATACTAACATCATATGAATCTGAATTCATTCCTAAAGTCATGAATGAAATTTGTTAAAACTTTATTGAATATTGTATATTAACTTTTATATTTAATACTTATAAATGAATTTTAACTATAAATTGTCAAATTATTTATAGATGAAAATATTTCTATTTATCCGACTATTCGTAGAAGAAATTAATAATTGAAAAACGAAAGTAAAAACCAATTATACTTGTATTGCATATATATATGTGTCCATAACCTTCGCAATGATTTAAACCCTAAACCGGATAATTGATTCATGTTTAACATTTTAATAAACAACAAATATATGAGATTCGTATCATAGTACGATAATACATAATACTATGAGTATAATACTATCCAGGCCATTATTTAAATAGTAAGATATTTATAAACAAATAAGTTTACATAACAGGCTCATCTATGTTCTGGTTAACAATTACAAGAAATTGGTGATAAAATCTTCAATAATGCAACTGTTTTTCATAATATCACATTATTTCCAAGAATTATCCTAGATTCTATTTCACTGCTAAGTAAATAATATACTAATCCAGTATAAACAAATATATTATATTTTTCATATTTTTCAAACAGTAAATATTCTCATAAAGATCATATTACGTTAATCTTTATATAAATATTTGAAGTTATTATATAATTAATTTCAATTACTAGAAAATGAGTGTACGCGATGATCTAATATATTAAATAATACAAAAAATAAACATTTGATTTTAATTAATTTCAAAAATAATTGAAACACCACTTACTCTACAAATTTGTCTGGCTTTATTTGTGAAAGTTTAATCTACGTTATTTACAATAATAATTTAAGTAATTTTGGCTAATTAATTTTCAATAAATTTGATTTATTATTTAATCCTTTCGTAAGTATAAATATATGAATCCTTTCGGATCTCAATAAGTCTCTAACCTATGAATCTCGGGTTATTTGACTTGTCTTAGATTTGTAAAACACAATAAGGACTCATTTGTGAACTTATGGTATTACTGTAGTTTGATAACAAAATAGAAAAAATTTCTTTTCAATGTGGTTTATGAGTTAATCACGAGTCAAAAACAACCCTGATTGCGGACATTATCTTGTGTTACAAAATGTTTTTAATTTTTCGCATTTAAAACTTTCTGATATTCATTGATAATTTGTATTCGGAATATTTAATATTTTAAAGTGAATTTTGCACTTTTATTTGTAAATATATTTTTTTTAACCATAATTCTGATTCTTTTAAAAAGATTTACTTAAATTCCATATAAAAATTTTTATAGATATATTTTTAGACTTCCGTTTAGATGACTTATTTAAATTGAATTTGATTACAAACTGATTAAAGTTACTATTTATAGTTGCATTTTAAAATTTCATGAATCATAAACTTGTAAAAATACACACTTTTTATATAATATCATATAGTATAGTAAAGTATATACAAGATTGCTATTGACGCAAAGACATTTGATTGACACAAAACTGATGCCATACTATTTAATGTATAGACTTTGTCTATCCTATAAGTGAAGGTTACAATAAATAAAAAGGTTTGTAAACTTTTATAACTTTTTAGACACTGGTTCTAAATGTTCGGTGGTCAGAGTTTGCATGTATTAAATATTAATATAAATTATTGTAGATAGTATATTTAGTCATACTGAAATTAAGTTGTAATAATTTTGCGGACATAGTTTGTAATTATAAAATATAAAAATCCTATATAACTGTAATTGTATGGTATCTGGCGTGCGAATTATATCAACCGAATTTCGGTTTCCTTCCTTTCCGTGCGCTTTTTTCAAATTAATTTATAGTAAATGTTAACTTACTGTGAACTGAAAACCTAATATACGAGTAACTAATAAGAAATACCTATAAAACACTTGTAGATATCTACTGTCATAAGGATCTTTAATAAAAAATATTTTTTATTCTTCCAGGAATTATATTCATATCAAAATTCTGTGCAATGTTTATGTTATTGTATTGTTTGGCAGTGCATTCATTTATCATTGTATAACAAAACAACAGTATATGAACTTCAAAGTAAATATTTTCTAAATAAATTTTCTAATAATTTCTACAAAAGTTTAAACTTTTTATCGCAAAATTATCATAAAGATTGTCATTTATGTTCTGTTTATCGCCCTTTAGTGCGCTTATAGTTTATAAATTAAAACATTAGGAAATTTATCTAATATTCTGTGAATACCAGAGTTACCCCCATGTTGTGACGTGATGTCATAACGTATTTTACAAATTCATATATTATTGTTTCATAAGAATTGGTATATTTTGTACCGTTCTAACTATTGTCCTTATAATCAAATCTACACACAAATCTACATGTATATTTAGGTACACCAGAATCGCAAACATTTCAAATGAATTAAAATAATAATAATTCCCTTTAAATATAAAGGAAGAATTATTTTTAAATAAAATTATTAAAATTTATTATAATTACAAAAATACAGTATACAGATTCTGTAGAGAATATTTATTAATTTGAAAACTAACATAATGCAGTATTTATAAAATATACGACAATAAAAATTCATATTTATTAAAACGAATAATTATTGGTAAGAGTGATTTAAAAAATATAATATAGTCTACTGATTATACTAACAAGTAAGACTAATTATAATAAGACTAATATTATATTATACAGTATTATTATTGTCATAATACTTTAACTACAGAATATCTTATCATTGAACTCCTTTTGAAAAAATAAATTTTAAATAAGTTTATAATTTATACCGTATAGTAAATTATTTACAGCATAATATGCAGCCTTTTTATATATTTAAAATTAGATAATCTAATGAATACTAATGTGTTCTCATTGAGGAAAATTGTCCAAGAGGAAATTTATAAATAGAAACAATTCTACTTATATTACAATAGATATAAACCTTTTAATTACAAAATAAATAATTAAATTCTTGAATTAAGAATTGATTTGATGAGTCATATGAGAGACACGAGTGTATTATAAAGTGAGGTAAATATAGTGAACTGATATGAGCTTAGAGGGGGTGTAGGTGTTATAATAGTGATCACTGTCTCAGACAATTGTCTCATTTCAAATCACATGATTTGCGCAATGGTTGATAATATTTAATACAGTACCAACTTTTATAACTTATAAAACTACTGCAAAATAAACACCTATTAAGTTCAACAAATTACAAATCAATAATAATATACTAAAATAATTCAATAATCAATGAGCATATAATCCAAAAGTCAAGTGTCATTCAATTGTAAATGATATTTAATTAAACTTTTTTCGCGTGCCTTTCCTTCCTTTGGCTTTAAGCCAACTATATTAAGCGTGCGGTCTATGTATACAACTACTGTACAGTTATAGTAAGTTATATAGGATTTTTATATTTTATAATTACAAACTATGTCCACAAAATTATTAAAAGTTAATTACAGTAGACTAAATATACTACAGTATCTACAATAATTTATATTAATATTTAATACATGAAAACTCTGACCACCGAACATTTAGAACCAGTGTCTAAAAAGTTATAAAAGTTTACAAACCTTTTTATTTATTGTAACCTTCACTTATAGTCTATAAGTTATAGGATAGACAAAGTCTATACATTACAGTAAATAGTATGGCATCACTTTTAATGTCAATCAAATGTCTTTGCGTCAATAACAATCTTGTATATACTATATGATTTATATAAAAAGTATGTCATTTTACAAGTTTATGATTCATGAAATTTTAAAATGCAACTATAAATAGTAACTTTAATCAGTTTGTCATCAAATTCAATTTAAATAAGTCATCTAAACGGAAGTCTGAAAATATATCTATAAAAATTTTTATATGGAATTTAAGTAAATCTTTTTAAAAGAATCAGAATTATGGTTAAAAAATATATTTACAAATAAAAGTGCAAAAATATATATAATTTAATTCTCTACCACTAAAACAATAAAATTTAACAATTTAAGATTAAGTTAAATTACAATCACTTAAAAATATTAAATATTCCGAATATTAATAAATATCAGAAAGTTTTTAACGAGAAATTAAAACATTTTGTAACAGAAGATAATGTCCGCAATCACACAACAAAAACTGAGCACTAATTGAGTATTTGGTGTAACTTTTCTTTAAAAAAGATAAAACAATAGTTTGATGTCATTATGGTATTCAAGTGTTTACTCAGGAATAACACAAAATGTTTAGATTCTGTAGTCAAATAACCCGAGATTCATAGGTTAGAGACTTATTGTCTAGGCTTTCCTAAGTATATAAATATGAATGCTNTCTAGGCTTTCCTAAGTATATAAATATGAATGCTTTCCTAATTTATTATTTAGTTTAAATAACTTTTAATTAATCGGTTTTAATGAATTTAATAATAACATTTATTGCATCTAATTTGAAAGTGTTTAAAAG